GGCAGTGCCAAAGAATGCTCCAACTACTGTACCATTGCACTCATTTCACATACTAGTAAGGTTATGCTCAAAATCCTACAAGGTAGGCTTCAGTAGTATGTGGGCCAAGAACTCCCAGAAGTACAAGCTGGATTTCGAAGGGGCAGAGGAACTAGAGACCAAATTGCTAACATGCGCTGGATTATGGAGAATTCCAGAAAAATGTCTACTTTGCTTCATTGACTACACAAAAGCCTTTGACTGTGTGGACCATAGCAAACTATGGCAAGTCCTTAAAGAAATGGGAGTGCCTGAACACCTTATCTGTTTCCTGAGAAACCTATACGTGGGATAGGAAGCAATAGTTAGAACTGGATATGGAACAGCTGATTGGTTCAAAATTGGGAAAGGAGTACAACAAGGCTTATTTAACATATATGCAGAATACATCATGCAAAAGGCTGGACTGGTGGAATCCCAAGCTGGAATTAAGATTGCCGGAAGAAATATCAACAACCTCCAATATGCAGATGATACCACTCTGATGGCAGAAAGTAAGAAGGAATTAAGGAATCTCTTAATGAGGGTGAAAGAGGAGAGCACAAAAATGGTCTGAAGCTCAACATCAAAAAAACTAAGATCATGGCCACTGGTCCCATGACCTCCTGGCAAATCAAAGGGGAAGATAATGGAGGCAGTGACAGATTTTACTTTCTTGGGCTCCATGATCACTGCAGATCAGGACAGTAGCCACAAAATTAAAAGACACCTGCTTCTTGGGAGGAAAGCGATGACAAACCTTGACAGCGTCTTAAAAAGGAGAGACATCAGCTTGCCAACAAAGTTCCACATAGTCAAAGCTGTGGTTTTTCCAGTAGCGATGTATGGAAGTGAGAGCTGGACCATAAAGAAAGCTGACTGCCGCAGAATAGATGGTTTTGAATTGTGGTGCTGGAGGAGGCTCTTGAGAGTCCCCTGGACAGTAAGGAGAACAAACCTATCCATTCTAAAGGAAATCAGCCCTGAGTGCTCACTGGAAGGACAGCTCCTGAAGCTGAGGTTCCAATACTTTAGCCATCTCATGAGAAAAGAAGACTCCCTGGAAACGACCCTGATGTTAGGAAAGGGTGAACGAAAGAGGAGAAGGGGACGACAGAGGATGAGATAGTTGGACAGTGTCACTGAAGCCACCAACATGAATTTGACCCAACTCCGGGAGCAGTGGAACACAGGAGGGCCTGGCATGCTCTGGTCCATGGGGTCACAAAGAGTCGGACATGACTAAACAATTAAACAACAACAATCAGGTTTAAGTTAAACATATTTAACATAACCATATTCATCCTGGAAGTAAATTGCTTAAGTTTGGCTTTCTGAGTATCTCCCTTTCATTTTTAAAAGGATTTGTTTGCCCATTTGAGTTCTCCTGACCAGATGTTTCTTATTCCAGGCTCACGTAATGTTGGATTTCATCAGTTCATTATAAATATATTTTCTTTCAACTTGCTGTTACTTTAAACTATCCAAGACTGAGCCTTTCCTACTCTCTCTTTCACTCTCTCTCACTCTCTCTCTCTCTCTCTCTCTCTCTCTCTCTCTTTTTTACCCCCACCACCCACTTGGTTAATTATTTCATAATTCCAACTCAGTTAGGAATCTTCTTTCTTTCCTCTTTTGTCATGCTGTTACAAAAGTGTGTTCAAACCTAAATTCTGCACCACCCACATCCCCCAGCAAAGACACTAGCATATTCCTTCTGGTCTTCCCTCTCTACTCCTGTTCTTGTGATCTTCATTTTCTTCAGCTTCATTATTCTCCATTCTTTTGATTCACTTTGCAGTGGAAAGTGAGTTACACTACTGCCTATAGCATATGTCAGTTGGGGCACCTACCTTATAATGGATGAGAGATATTTCCAGGGAGACTTTTCTCTTTATCCTTCCAGTGTTTCCTTCCTCATCCCCAGCTACTGGGAAATATCCAGTTGTTTGGGCTAACAAGGAGAGCAGGAAGGAAGGAATTTTGTTTGAAGTGTTTTTCACATAATTCTGTATTTCATTTCAAATTAACTCATCAGCATATATTTATAGAACACCTACTGAATTACAGTACAATACAACCCCTGTATCTGGGATTGAAATCTGTAGTTTCAGTTATCTGTGGTGTACTGTAATACATCACACAAGGGGGCAGGAGTTGTGGCCTTTGTCCTGCCCCTTTGTGATTCTTTGTCCTGCCTCCTTTTATGTTGTACAGTGGTGCCTCGCTTAACGGGCACTCCGTTTAGCAACGAAACCGCATAGCGACGAACTTTTTGTGATGTTTCCTATGCATTTTTTTCGCTTTGCGATGATTGGTTCCCTGTTTCGCTTACCGATCATCGCAAAGCGATGATTTTTTAACAGCTGATCGGCTGTTCCAAAATGGACGCCGGGTAAAAAAAATGGCCGCCCGCTGTGTTTTCGTGCGGATTCCTCGCTTTAGAGGCAGCGAAAATGGCCACCGTATGGAGGATCTTCACTTTAAGGTCAGTTTTTTGCCCATAGGAACGCATTAAACAGGTTTTAATGCATTTCTATGGGCTTTTTAAAATCGCATAGCGACGAAATGGCTTAGCAGCGATTTTTGCTGCACGGATTAATGTCGCTATGCGAGGCACCACTGTATATATATTTTAGTTAGTTCATTTGTGCTTCTGCCTGCCTTGGCTTTCACCCAAGCATACTGACAACTCATTCTTGTTTTTATGTGGCACCAAGTTTGCAATTAGGGTTCATAAAGTCCTGAAAGAATTATTTTTATAAACCAACTGAAAGGTTTTAGTAAATCCATGTTCTATAAGTATTTAAGGGAACTGATCTTCTAGAGGCTTTGTATTGTATTAAAGATCTAAGTATGATATTTCCAACATGCTTTTGTGTGAATTAATCAGTGATTTATTTTAAAATTTTTTTTCTTATACACTCCACACATTCCTCAAATAGGATATGGTTGTCCAGGCTTTAAGACAAACCAACAGCCGTAGCATAGAAGCAGCAATTGAATTCATAAGTAAAATGAGCTACCAGGATCCTCGGCGAGAACAAATGGCAGCAGCAGCAGCTAGACCAGTTAATTCTGGTACAAAACCACCAGGTATGTTTATGCCATGTTTATTTTACTTTATTAGACTTATATACTGCCCATCTAGAATTATCTACTCTGGGCAGTTTACACAAAAAATAAACTATGAAAATATAAATGTACTAAAAATTCAACCCAAATTAACAACAGAATCTAAGATGGAAAAGAGAAAAGGAAAAAAAAAGGCTAGGTGATGGCTGTAGGGAAAGTCTGCCTATATAGCCATGTCTTCAAATTGGTCTTAAAGCCCCTCAGCAAGGGGGCCAGGTGGATCTCTACAGGTAAATTGCCCCAGAGACGAGGGGCCACTGCTGAGAATGCCCAATTTTTAGTTTTTTCCCTTAAGACCTCTCTCGGTGTTAGGCCCCTCAGCTGCCTGGCCTGACTAGAATGGTTGATACAGGCAGAACTAGGCAGAAGAAGGCAGTCTGCCAAGTATTTAGGGCTTAAACAATTGAGGGCTTTATATGTAATAGTCAACACCTTGAAATTGATGCAGAAGTGAATAGGCAACCAGTGCAAGGCGGCCAGGCTGGGGGAAATATGATGGAATTTTTTCACCCAAGTTAATAGCCTGGCTGCCATATTCTGGACCATTTGAAGCTTCTGCATCAGTCTCAAAGGAAGCCCCACATAGAGTGCATTACAGTAATCTATTCTTGAGTCTATGAGCGCATGGACCATCATGGTGAGCGCCTCCCCATCTAGATAGGGACACAGCTGGGCAATCCACCGAAGATGTAAGTGGGCGGACCGAACTACGGACACTACCTGAGTCTCCATGGTAAGCACTATGTCAAGATGGACTCCCAGACTGCGGGACTGTACTCTCTGTACCTAGATAATTTTTGATAGTAAAAAGAGAAATATGTTAAAATAAAGTATAAGAACTGAAGAGATTAAAAAATTCTAAAGCGAACAATTCTATTAGTAAAGTTAGAGGTAGTTTCGAAATATTTAGGGCAGGGGTGTCCAACCTTTCACCTTCCCTGGGCCACATTAGAAGATGAAAATTTGGTTTCGGCCACACATACATTTGGTTTGGGCCGCATGGGGGGTCAGCCCTAGCTGTCCTCCGCAGCCCCGCTCCAAGCACGCTTACCAGCAGCTGCGATCTGCCAGCTTCGACTCCGGCGGCTTTATGGGGCCGGGAGGGGGTCCACCTATTGACAGGGACGGTGCAATGCAATCACGCATCCCCCCTGTCCCCTCCCCTCCCACTCCTTCCTTCCTTCTCCTCTTCCCCTCTACTGTTGTGACATGCCCTTGTCACATTCCGGCCGCAAGCGCTGGCAGTGTAACTTGAAACTTTGGAATTTCTTTTAAAATAAAAAATTGCACTGGGACGCATTACGAGCTGATCTGGGCCGCATGCGGCCCTCAGGCCGCGGGTTGGACAAGCCTGATTTAGGGTATCATAAATTCTTTCGGCATCTCAGTTTATTTTGTTCTTTTGAATTTATATTTGATTAGGTAAATGTAGCAGTATTCGCCTTTTCAGAATAGGAATTAAAGCCTGTAAATTTCTCTTTATAGATTTTTAGACAAGACATTTGAATATAGAATGGTTGGTAGACTGTGTTATGAGTTCAGTTCTCCCATCTGATTCTTCATCCTTAAAGCTATATTTGCATGTTTCTTCACATTATTTTCCCCTCTGCCCCTCAGTGGGGAAGAAGTTTGGTTTTTGACAACAGTGTGTTACACAGATGCTTCAGCCTTTCAGCATCTCTTCTTTTGAATATAAAACGGAAAGTAGAACATGAAGTAAGAAGGCTGCAGGGTAGATTTTATTAAAATCAAATTGATTTAAATCACAATTTAAGTTTAAAAAATCAGATCTTTGATGATATAAAAAAATGATTTAAAAAATTTAACCCATGCTTTAAATCAATTTGATTTTTAAAAATCATTGATTTTTATCCACGCTGGAAGGTTGCCGCTTCTACCCACCTTTGTTGTGGCAACTGAAAAAAATAGACTAATATCTTTTTAAAATGGAAAGCTTTCTCTTCATTGTTCTCTGTCTACCAGTTTTGTGTTAAAGATTATGGGAATGTCTTCTCCATTGACTGCATGTGAACTTCTAATAGTGTATTCATCTTGCAAAACTTATTAATGAATCTTAATGGTGCTTAATTAGTATCATTTACTGAGTTAGCGATTGAGGAAGCTTATGAATTTTAGTTGCCTCCATTTCCATCACATGCATCACTTGTAAGAATTTCTGTTCTAGAATAATAGTGCAGTAGTGAAAATATTTTTAAGTGTCTTTTCCTTTTAAAAAAAGCAGGTGGAGGACAGCAATCTATTAACCGCAGGCAAAGTTGGAAAGGTTCCAAAGAATCTTTGGTATCCCAGAGATTTGGAGACTTGACTTTTCATTCTGAAAGCCCTGTATCGCAGGCTGATGTAGGAAGACCTTTATCTGGGTCTGGAATAGCAGCATTTGCTCAGGCTCATTCTGGCAATGGACAAAGAGTGAATCCACCACCTCCACCTCAAGTAAGAAGTGTTACTCCTCCACCTCCACCTCCCCGAGGGACAACTCCACCTCCCCGAGGAACAACACCCCCTCCTTCTTCCTGGGAAACAAATTCTCAGACAAAACGGTATTCTGGCAACATGGAATACATGATCTCTCGCATTTCTCCAGTACCACCAGGAGCATGGGCAGATGGCTATCCTGCACAGTCTATGAATCCTTCTACCCAGGGACAAAGAGGAATAAGTTCTGTTCCTATTGGCAGGCAACCAATAATTATGCAGAGTTCAGTTAACAGCAAATTTAGTTTTTCATCAGGAAGGGCTGGAATACAGAATGGCAATTGTCAGACTGATTATATTCATCAGAATATTGTGCCTGGTAACTCAGCAAATCGTCAGCCTCCACCTCCTTACCCAATGTCACATACAAACCAGCAAAGTCCTACACCTTTGCAGATGCAAGCAGGAGGACCTACAGCCCCTTCTGCATATGTCAATGGAAACATTCCTCAATCTATGATGGTGTCAAACAGAAACAGCCACAATATGGAACTATACAATATAAATATCCCTGGAATTCCAACATCCTGGCCTCAGTCATCATCTGGCAATGGACATGAAATTCCAGCATGGCAGTCCAACATTCCTGTAAGGTCAAATTCCTTCAATAATCCTCTTGGAAACAGACAAAGTCATGCTGCTAATTCACAGCCTTCTGCCACTACAGTAACTGCAGTTACTCCTGCTCCTATACAGCAGCCAGTAAAAAGCATGCGTGTATTAAAACCAGAACTACAAACTGCCTTAGCTCCGACTCACCCTTCTTGGATTTCACAGCCTATGCAAGGTATGCAGCCAATCTCCTTTTCCGAGGGACCATGTACAAATATGACAATCATATCACCTGGAGCAGAGGCTCCAAATTATCAAGGTCCACCACCTCCTTATCCAAAGCATTTATTGCACCCAACTACATCTGTTACACCGTATGAATCTGTGGCAAAGTCTGGGAAGGAGGATCAGCCCAGTTTCCCTAAAGAGGAGGAGAGTGAAAAGAATGATACCAGTGAGGCAGCAGATAAAGAAAATAAACAAATAACAACCTCACCTGTCCCTGTTAGAAAAAACAAGAGAGATGAAGAAAGAAGGGAATCCCGCATTCAAAGTTATTCTCCTCAAGCTTTTAAATTCTTTATGGAGCAGCATGTGGAAAACATACTTAAATCTCATCAACAGCGGCTGCATCGTAAGAAACAGCTAGAAAATGAAATGATGCGGGTAAAGCCTTTTATTATTACTTCTCTTTTGCTAAGGTGCTGGATATGCTTTTTTAGATAATATTACGGTAATTTTACAATCAACACATGTGGCACATTAGATTGGTCAGCTTATACTTATGCAATTCTACCTATGTCTATTCAGAAATTAGTCTTACTATGTTCATTGGGACTTACATTAAGGTAAGTGTATTTAGGATTGATCAAATAATAATGGCCAAGCTCTTCTAATCAGAGATCTTGCATCCATATCTAATAGTAATATTTGTCATGGTAGGTATATATAGGATTGTAATAATAGTACATTTAATACAGTAGTAAATTCCATTTATTATCAATAATAGGAAATGTGAAAAGATGGGTGTTAGGGATCTAAGTTCAAATACATGCTTTTACGCATAGAAGGAACTTTCTTTCTGCAAACTGAGGGTAGGGGAATGACTTGTGCTGTTTAGGGGACAATTCCCGCTTTCTACTGCAGTCCCTGTACTATGTGCTGTGCTGTTCTAAAAGGCCCCCAAAGAGTTGAGTATGGACTGGAGTGGAAGGAAGGGAAACTGCAGAGAAAGGCAGAAGGTAAGAGAGGAATCGTTGTGTTTACCAAACAGACCCAGGGATTGAAAATATTCGTCACTGATTAATATGAAATATTTGTATATGCAGATTATGACTGAATCAGATTAATGTGGATTCAAACATTGTATAGACTTCAGAGTTGATCAATATGCCCTGCACTCAAAGCCTTACAGTTAGTCATGAAAGAGTGTAGATTTAGTGAGATATCTAAGACCTAAATCTCTATTTTGTCCAGTTGCAGAACTATAAAAACCAATTGACTTAATTATATGAGTTGATGTCCCAAGTTCCCACTACTTTAGTGGGTATACTTTTAGTGGGACTAACAATTGAATTTAGCTCTCTGCAGTTACATGGACAAATCTAAGCACATCTATTAAATGTTGACAAACAAATTAACTAAGCTTGTTTTGCTAGCTGGACTTATTTATGATAGATGGCCAACTTCTCTCCTCCACATGCACAGTTGATTGATATAAATTGTGGAAGGCAAAAGTAATACAGCATCTGGAGTTTTGTTTTTGTTGTCTTCAAAGTTACTTCTGAATTTATGTTGACCCAAAAAAGTTTTTTAAGGTATGGGAAATGGTCAAGGAATGGTTCAACATTAGGCATGGAGTTATCATGGACTGCAAATCCCATAATTTTCTGTTCTGTGTGTCCTATGTGACATATGGATACCTAAATATGGCCCATGTGGGAGAAAGGTTTAAGCTAGAAAGCTTTTTGACCTAGCTCTGCCTAGTTTCCTGTTCAAAAAAGTTCCAGCTTCCTTTCTGATTAGAGAACTAGGCCTGTCTTGGCCACAGAGCCAGATTCCTTTCTGAATAGCAAGCTAACCTGAGCTAGGCCACAGAGCCTTCTAGCTTATGCCTTTCTGTCAGGTGACCTACATTTAGGTGTTTGTAGATTGTCTGTATTGTTGACTGGAACTTTCCGAATGGAGAATTGTAGGATTTTTAGTTCAAAAATCCCATGCCTATTTAACATTGGCACCATTCCATTGGTGAGTTTCCATGGCCTAGCAGGAATTTGAACTTGGGTCTCCTAAGTCCTAGTGCAATACTATCCACTATATCACACTAGTTGTCATATTTAACATGGTAAAATTATTCTCTTCATAATGATGATAAATAACAATAACATTTAACAGCTAGTAACAATGAATATGATGTATGTATACGGATTGAATCCTGAGTTGCCCTTCTGGATATATGGAGGGGATTCTGATCTGCTGGAACTTCCTAAGGAGGGAAGATGCAGAATTCTCCTGATTTCTCTCTTCTACCTTCAGTGCTGCTTCATGTGCCATTCTGGAGACTCTTCAGTCCTTTTCACCAGTTGCGGAAAAAATTGGTGAAAATTAGCTTTCCTCTTCTGTCAGCAGAGACTTCCCATGAACAGAGTTCTGTTCACAAGAACCCAGGATCTAAGCCTGTGTTTGCACACTCCGTTTCAGTTGCAGGAGTTAGACTGTTGTGGATTTCAGTTTCACTCTTCAGTAAAATTTCCAGGCACCATTCCCAGGATGTTCTCATCCTCTAGGTTATCCTTGTTATTTTTCTCTGTTTAATTTGGCAGTGCTATTTTCCAGCCTTGTATCACAAAGGATATACAGTAACATGTCTCCTTAAAATGTTACTATCAGTTAGCATTATTTATTAATTCTTGCATTTTATGCTATCTATATAAATAATAGCACTCAAGGCAGCTAGTTGAGAACATAAATACAGCTATTACTTCGTCAGAGGGTTTTATCCTTTGTCATAGGAAGCCTTTATGGATTAAGAAATAAAGAATTCGATACTGTCTAGGAGCTAGAGAACAAAATAAGAATGGTTCAGTGACCATTGTCCTGCCACAGTCGAAGGACACAGAGCCTAATTCAGTTGTTAGTTGGAGCAGATCCATTAAATCAGATGAACTTGTATAAATGACACTCATTCAGTAAATTTTCTCTGGGTTTGGATGTAGCTTTCAGAGTTCAAATTAAAGAGAGGGTATGTGGGCACTTTGGGAATGTTAAGATCTCAAAGGAAGGACTCTAGGGAGGAAAAACCTTAAAATCAGTTGCTGGATTAGTCAACATGAAGAGTGTTTCTATTCAGCATATATGGGTAGCGAGAAAGAAGCACTTGGTGCTTTCAAGTTGCTTTCTACCTGCATTTGAAGTCTATCAGTCATGGCATGCTGCATTTCTGGATTACTTACTTCTTCCATGGCTGTTTTCTCATTACTTTTAGCTCACTTGCTTTTCTTTACTGCTTTGGTAACGGCAGTTATCTAAAGATACAAATACTGTATCCATCTTTTGGACCAAGAGGATTCTTGTATCTTTTTATACAAGGATATTTGTATTTTTAGATAATTGCTTTTACCAAAGCAGTAAAGAAAAGCAAGTGAGCCAAAAGTAGTGAGAAAACAGCCATGTAAGAAATAAGTAATCCAGAAATGCAACATGCCATGATTGATAGTCCTGGGAGGTAGGATGGAACAGTGAATGCCATTCTGAGGCAGAAATTAAGCAGAGTTACCATCAGAACTGATTCCTTACACAAGACTGTACCAAGGGGATTACGTGTCTACTCTAATACCAGTGATCCCAGCTCCATCAGAACACTGAGTCTTATCTTTGTGGTCCTTGCTGGTACAACAGTGCCATCACTAGAGTGGTACCTTCTGCAGTCTGGCACAGCAAATATGAAGTGGATGTAAATGGATTGTTGTGCTCTTTTGCTTTTAAATGTGTTTTTAGTATTGATTTTATTTTCCATTTTTTATCTAATACTTGTTTAATTCATTTTTATATTTGTATACTTACTGCTTTTAGCTTTTAAATATTGTCATTTTAATGATGTTGGGTCTTTTTAAGGAGAAAGATAGGCTAAAAATATTTTAAATAAATAAATAAATAGCTATGAAAGAGAAGATTTGTGGAATTGGATAGTTGCTTGATAAATACTGTTGTTTTGAATTATACTGTATATCATTCCATAGTGCTAGAATACTCTCTCAGTGGTTTACAGTACAGTATAATTATATATACAACACGTTGCCTCCCCAGAGAGCTGGGTACTCATTTTACTGACCTTGGAAGAATAGAAGGCTGAGTCAATCCTGAGCCAGCTACCTGAACTCATCACAGTTGAACTCAGGTCATGAGTAGAGGCTTGACTACAGTACTGCAGTTCAGCTACTGCACCACTGCTAGATATATGGACTTTTCTTGATCTCACCTTAAATAAATTATCTATTTTATGGCAAGGTGTCTACTTATTATATATCACTTTCAAGGTATTAAAAAAAAACAGGTACAAAATTTTGATCCTCTGATACTGAATGGAAAAGCCCATTTTTGTCCCCAATTCCCTGTGTGGGTCTCATCAGTCCCCCAAAATGAAAACAGAAGTGCCTAGAAAGTATCTCCTAGTTTTCTAAAACTGTTTTTTTCCTTTTTTTTTCTTTTTGCTCAAATAAAGTGTGGTTTCCATCCCTGCTCTTATAAGTAGATATTCTCTATGTATCTTTTGTGTGTCTTTGACCTGTTACAGACAAATCATTGGCACAGCATTGGAACTGCCTATTCTTACCTGCATTAAAATTAACATCCTTTCTTGTTGTTGTTTATTTTGAAGCTTATAATGTGTTTTCATATGAATCTGGGGTGCTTTTCTCTACTTCTGCACCAGTCTTCAAATGGGTCATTTAACTTATTTTCAGAAAATTCTCCCTATCAAATTGTATCTTTATGAAATGGTCACTGATGTATAAATTAAATAATATTTCTTGTTCTTTCTCCATGTTCATTCTTAGTATCTTTCCTTTTCACTTTCACTAACAGCTGATTTAAACTATTAAGGTGTTGGAAGCTTTCCTGACATCTATAGCCTCGTTACAGGGTAGGCAAGTAATATTTTGGAGACAAGTATTTAAAGAACAGCATGGACTGTTTCCTAGGGACTCTGCATGCTTACCTGCATTTAAATTAAGCATGTTTTCTTTCACTGTACTAGTGTTCCTGGATTTCTTTATATAAGACTCCTAATCCTGCTTTCTTTTATTTTATAATATTTTATTTCTTTATAGTATTGTATTATTTATTTACAGGGACAATTATATAGATATACAACGGAATATATAAATTATATATTTTTAAAATATACAATTGTACTTTGATATAAATTATAATTTTTTAAAATATACAATTGTACTTTGCTCAGTTTTACATATATAATTAAGTGGCTAGTTTATGAACAACTTATATTTCTTTTGCCAAACTCTTATTCTGGGTACCTTATTAAAAAAAGTAGTGATAAATATAAAACTTTCTAAAGAATGAAGGATAGAAATTGAAAAGTTTGTTATCCCTTCTTTAGATTTTAGTCATGGACAGGAAAATATTACCATATTCTTTTTATAAACTGAAAAACATGACAGATCTAATACAGCTGACTGTATGGGAATGCTCACGAAGGAGCATAGTCATGACTTTCCTTTCCCAAAAATGTGAAGCTTTTAGGGATAATAGGGTTTTGCACTCAACCTGCCTACTTTCATCTCACAAATTGCTTTTCAAACAGTTGTCCATAAATCCTCACTTTTCTCATGCATTGCTGTTGATGTGTGACTGTGCTTATAACCATTCTTTTTAACCATCCATGAAGAACCCATATTTTATATAATACTTTGTGCAGTACTTTGACGTGATTGCAGTGACTCCTAACATTTCAGTTAAAAAACTGAAACATATTTCCTAGTTAAGGAACTTGTTTTTAATTTCCTTGTGTTGGATATGACATTTATAAACATTTTTAATACAGGTATTTGGTGTTTTTCACTTATTCAATTTTTTTGTTGCATAGGTGGGATTGTCCCCAGAGGCCCAGGATCAGATGAGGAAAATGCTATGCCAGAAGGAGTCCAACTATATCCGTCTCAAAAGGGCTAAAATGGATAAATCAATGTTTGTGAAGATTAAAACCCTTGGAATTGGGGCATTTGGAGAGGTGTGCTTAGCAAGAAAAGTAGATACAAATGCTCTTTATGCAACAAAAACTCTACGGAAAAAAGATGTGCTGCTTCGGAACCAGGTTGCTCATGTTAAAGCTGAACGTGATATCCTTGCAGAGGCTGATAATGAGTGGGTAGTTCGTTTGTACTATTCATTCCAAGATAAAGACAATTTGTACTTCGTTATGGACTATATTCCAGGAGGAGATATGATGAGCCTGTTAATTCGCATGGGGGTCTTTCCAGAAAATATGGCTCGGTTCTATATAGCTGAACTGACTTGTGCAGTTGAAAGCGTTCATAAGATGGGCTTCATTCACAGAGATATAAAACCTGACAACATTCTGATTGATCGTGATGGCCACATCAAATTGACTGACTTTGGGCTTTGTACTGGTTTTCGCTGGACACATGATTCAAAATACTACCAGAGTGGTAAGAAAAGTATTTGTTCTATAATGCCCCTCTTCTTGCTAGTCTGTTAACATATTTAGTCAGAAATCATCCTGTTATGATTTTAGCTGATTGACATTGTAGCTAATTGTCATAACACTTCATCAAGTAAAGATCAAAGCAAAAGTAGTCTTCATCTGTTGTAGAACAAGGGCTGTCCTTGCTAACTTGAGAGAGAGAGGGAGAGAGAGAGGGTCAGCCCTCGACTATATATAAAAATAGGACTTTTTAGCAGACCTTCAGTTTACAGTCCCACAGATTTTTTTTTTAGCTTATCTATATACTTGTCACTTGAAGTATATTTTTGGCCTGAAGACAAACGACCCAGCTTTTTTAATAGTTTATAAAGGTTACCTTTCCTGCTCACGTAACACAAATATTTTCATTTACAATCTTATTGTAACATTCTGACATTCTGTTCATTGCGCATAGAGAACACATTTTTTAAAACACAGGTATTTTCATGGAAACGAATAATAGACATTTACACTTTCTGAAACTACTTTCAGAAATTTGTCATCCATTCTGTTGGCCTGATGCTTGTGTGCACGGGTGGGCGGGGCATGGGGCATGCATACGTGGGGATGTACATACCGTGGGGGAGGGAGAGCTGTCTCCACGGCTTGGTTCTGCCAAGGCCACAATCCGTTACCGGGCTGCCAACCGGGGCTTGGGGATCCTGGCTCTAGGGCACATGTCTGTCCATTTAGAATTAGGATTTAGTCTTTTCTGTGTTGAATGTAACTTATTGTTAGTAGTTTTAAACTTCTGCTGTATTGTGGGACTAAAATCCCACATGTCTATGCAGTGCTTACTTTGCTACTAAGAAAAACTTTAATAGTTTCTTCTCTTTCACTTGGTGAACATTCTTTACATTGGCCACAGTGTGGCCATAGGTGTATGGTTATTGATTCTGATACACAAGGAAAGCAGACTAGGTAGTCAGGAATGCATAACTCTTGTAATAGATGGAGTCAAAGAAATCGTGCTTTGCTAAATATGGACATTAAAATCAACTGTGATCATAGAGAAGTTAAAAGATGGAGATTAGATATGACTGTTTTTTTAGCAAAAGAAAATAATAGCTAAAATAGAAAAAGAAATGATGGAAATATGGGAAATTAATGATAAGGAAGGTTGCAGCCAGGATAATACAAGGGGCATAATGAAAGCATGGATGAGAAGAGTTAGTATCAGGGAATCATATACTGTAATCTCAAAAGAGAATGAGAAAAAACCGTTAAATTGTTTCAGGATGAAATACGATTGTTGGAGAGGAAATATATGATAGATAAGGATTTAAATAGTAAATCAGAAATATTTGGGGAAAAGGAAAGTATTAGAGAATATGGAAATAGAAAAAAACCTAGAGAAATGTAATATATCTGAAAAGAGATTTTGAGCTTAATAATAAAAACTCAGGAATTTTGGCCAGGGCTGCACATGTTTTAAAAGCTAAGAACCTTATTGGAGCAGTTTAAAATGATAAAGCTATAATGTGTAATCTGATAAGCAATGAATTAGATAAATTTCATTTTATTGCACCTGCGCTCTAGAAGAACTTAAGATGCATAATGAACAGATTGCATTTATGGAAGCTGCACTATAAACTGCAGTGTCATTAAGGATAACTAATTTTACAGTATTTAAGAGCTATGGAAGTCTCCTTATGTCTGAACTGAATAGAAGAAGCATTTTACTAGCCTCTACTTTTGTTACTTCCCATATTCTGGGCAGAATGCTGGCAGTAAAAATAAGTTTTGATCTAACAACTCTTTCAAATCAAAGTTAGGAGAGAGGAGGTAAGAAATTGAATTTAACCTGCAGTGCTCCCTGTATGTAATGCCTTTCTTCTTTTTTAAAAAGGTTTGTTATCTTTGGTTAGGTAAAATCTGTAAAAAGATATAAGCCCAATTTTAAGCAATTGCTTAGGAAGAATGAGGTGTTTTCTGAAGTTATATGTATTTTTAATTGCATTTTAATTATTTTGCCTTTTTATTGTATTTTAAATGTTGTAAGCCGCCCAGAGAACTTCGGGTAGTGTGGGTGGCATATAAGGTAAATGAATGAATGAATGAATGAATGAATGAATGAATGAATGAATGAATGAATGAATGAATGAATGTATGTGCAGGAAAAATAAAAAATCCCATAAAATTTCTACTTCAGGACATACATATATAGACCCTGTAATTCCAGAACAATTTGAAGGGTTAAAATCTGTTTTCTGAGCTCTGAATTAGTGTTTCCCTCAGTTGCCAATTTCTGTAAACAGATTTGCAAACCTCGTATAATTCTACGAAGTTGGTTGTGTTCACCAAATTATTAAGCAGACAGATGTCCAGATAGACAAGCTTGTTAAGAATTGGATGGAATTCACGTGGATTTATTGGAAAGCAGTGCAACAACATATATCTATCAGTCTTGTCCCCTTAACGGTCAAAGTTCAGCCCTGCAGATTTTATAGATAGCAGCTCCCCAAGACCTAACCAGCATAGATGAGAAGGAGAAGGAAGGCTACTGTAGTAATTGCAGCCCAGCAACATCTGCAGGGCTGCACATTGCCCACCTCTACTTCATTGTTTTACATATTTTGTCAATGTTTCCTAGATATTCTTTGTCAAAGTTAACATGTGCACAAATCCAGTTTTCAGATTAGTTTATTTATTTATGGAAATGGTAAAAATAGATTGAGCTACATAAAGAATGGACAAAGGTGCTGCAACACTTAAGCTGCTTTGGGTCCTTTTAAGGAGAAAGGCAGAGTAAAAATAAATAAATAAACACTTAAGTAACAGCTGAAGTTCAAATGTAATATTAGCACTTGGTTTCTGCATTGTAGGTGACCACCCACGTCAGGACAGCATGGATTTCAGCAATGAATGGGGAGATCCAGCAAGCTGTAGATGTGGAGACAGGCTAAAGCCACTTGAACGGAGAGCAGCCCGTCAGCATCAGCGATGTCTAGCACACTCACTTGTCGGGACGCCAAATTACATTGCACCAGAAGTATTGTTACGAACAGGTAAATCTTCCCACTTGTTCTCACCGTTAATGAAATAACTTGTCAGCTTGTTTCTGAAAACTGTTTCTCCAAAAAGCAACATCTAGTAATAAGAGAGCACTAGTGTGTTATGGGAATGTTCTATAGCTCTGCTGATGTTGTGTGAATGATGTTACCAGCAGCAGCAGAATGCATCTAATTAAAAAGTTATTGCTGTGATTTTGGGTTGCACATAATTTGTACACAGTAAGATTAAGTCACAGATGAATTAAGAGATGCATTAAAGCAGGAACTCTTTAACAGCAGTCTCCCGTTGCCAGTGTTATCGCTCTTGTTGTGATGGCAGAGCTGTGTAACAGGATATACCCATATACTATCATTTGCATAAGTCTTTCTCATCCCAGGACTAAAAGGAATGGCACAATAAATATCAATTTAATGATATCCACAGTGTTCTTCCTTATTACAGTTTCTTAGTAGCAGAAGCTTCTTTTGTATTGGACTAATTTCTGAAGAATAGTAATTCCTCTGGTGCTTTTTAAAAAGCTGTAAATAAAATTACACGGAGTGATCTGAAACATGCAATGAAATAATATACGTGGTGTTTTGACAAAATGAAATACTTGTTACTTCATTATTGTGCAGTCATAATTAAAAACTACAACAGTAAGAACAGAATAATAAAACAATTGTTTAGGCATATATATGTAAGTGTAAGAACTAGTATTGATACATATATATGTATCACCTAGTTCTTACACTATTGTTTTAAATGACTGAATTCTTTTAAATATATTCTTATACATATATAATTCTTTTATATACAGTGGTGCCTCGCTTGACGATGTTAATTCCTTCCAGCGAAATCACTGTAGAGCGAAAACATCGTCAAACAAAATTTAAAAACCCATTTAAACACATTAAAACCCGGTTAATGGGTTCCAATGGGCTCGTCCAGCGAAGATCCTCCATACGGCGGCCATTTTTGGTGGCTGTATAGCGAGGAATCAGTCCTAGAAAACAGTGGGGGGCCATTTTGAAACCCGACGATCAGCTGTTTGCTGATTGTCGTAAAGGGAAAAATTGGTTCCTGAAACAGGGAACCGATCAACATGAAGCAAAATTCCCCCATTTAAAACATCGTTTTGCGATCGCAAAAGCGATCGCAAAAAACGCCGCCGTAATGCGGATTCGTCGTAGAGTGGGGTAATTGTCAAGCGGGGCACGACTGTATGTATTATCTTATACATATATAAAAATAAAGAATTCAGTCATTTAAAACAACAGTGTAAGAACTAGTATTGATGCATAAGAGAATCAGGGTAGTGTAGTGCACTGGTTCTTAACCTTGGGTTACTCAGGAGTTTTGGACTGAAACTCCCAGAAGCCTTCACCACCAACTGTGCTGGCTGGGGTTTCTGGGAGTTGCAGTTCAAAAACATCCGAGTAACAAAGGTTAAGAACCACTGGTGTAGTGCAGTGATTCTTAACCTTGGGTTACTCAGGTGTTTTTGGACTGCAGCTCCCAGAAGCCTTCACCACCAGCCGTGCTGGCTGGGGTTTCTGGGAGTTGCAGTTCAAAAACACCTGCGTAACCCAAGGTTAAGAACCACTGGTGTAGTGGATGCAAAGTCTGACTGGGACTTAAGAGACCTGGATTCAAATCCCCTCAGCCATGGAAACTCACTGGGAGGTGGTACTGGTAAAACTGCCTGTTAAATTTCTCACACACCTGAGAAAACCTACTGGGATCGTCATAAATCAGAAGTTGATTTAATGACACAAAATATTGTTACATCTACCTGTTGTTTTGTTTCAGGTTATACACAGCTATGTGACTGGTGGAGTGTTGGTGTGATTCTTTTTGAAATGTTAGTAGGACAGCCTCCCTTCTTGGCGCAAACACCATTGGAAACGCAAATGAAGGTAACTGATAAAACATAGTATCAAAACCAGTTTTAGAAGTTAGTAAGAAAACTAATATATACACAAATTATGTAAGTGCCACTTTTCATTTAAATTGAAATAGCGTCAGCATCATGTTTTTTTTCTCTTTCTTTTCACACAACTGTTTTGTAATTTCAGTTGTGGCCTGAAATTTTAACTAGATTGATATAACTGCCTTCTTCTAGAAAGCTAATATGGGGCTTCAAACCATTTTCTTTCCCTTCCTTGTAAGGCATTTATCCCAGTGATAGAGCTGAAATGAAAGTTTGTGGTTGTTGAATAAGAACTCATTGGTACAGAACATGGATACCTTTTTGTATGGCAGTGTGGTTTAGCTTGGAGCATATAACTATGCCATCAAATTGATTCTGACTTCTGGCGACCCTTTCCATGGTTCCAAGGTGTTGTAGGTAGAGAATATTCAGAAGTGGTTTACTATTCTCTTTTTCTGGGGTGCCCTGGGACTATGCTGTTTGCTTATGGCTACATCGGTTGTCTCTTCTCCCAGAACAGACAGTGAGGAATAAAACTCTCAACCTCTGTCTCTGCAACCAGATACCTAAACTGCTGAGTTATCTAACCAGCAATTTGGGGTACATGCTGTATGCAGTGTCACTTAATGTATTTTAATTATCCTTTTCTAATGGTATTAAGTAGATTAAAAAGCAGTAAGTAGTGTCTTCATTCAGTCTTTCATTTTAGTTAATGGATGTACATCAGCTGAAAATGTTACTGCATATTGGGGACGGAACATAATAATTTCATGTGCAGCAGGCCCAGATAAATTAGTTTGTGTTGTGCCTTCAGTGTTTTATGTCCTTTATTTTGTAAACTATAAAGAGCTTTACTATAAAGAGCTTTACCGGTCTGCCTTTGTGATGAAGATTGGATCAATCCAATCCTGTTGTCAAAAAGTTCCTTTTTAACAAAAAATTATGTAAGGTTTTCTACCCACTTGGCAGATTTAAGAGCCACCAAGAGCACTACCTTCCACATGAGTTCCTTAATGGAATAGTGTGTATTTCTTAAACAATCATTAGTGAGGTTTCTGATCAGTACTGTAATAGATTTCTGTTAGGAATTTCATTGACGGCAGATGAAACTTCCCACAGAAAACTTTCAATACTGGAGGAGGTGTCAAAGAAGTGAAGGGGTACCCTTGAATCCCAGGATCACAAAATGTCTCTATGGTAGAAGGTATCTGGGCTAAGGGATTCATACTTCCTGATAAATCTGTGTGGTGTATTTTTGTTTTGTTTTTTTAATGAAACTTGTTTACCTGAATCATGGAATATTTTGCCTAAAGGGACAAAAGATGAGTTTCCACTCAGAATAGGAAACCCCGTTTCTGGCTGGAGACTGCTGGCATGTGTGCTTCTCTTACTGTTTCTAACATGTCTTGCTAGGCTTTTTTAAAATTTTTATTTTTAATTTTTTTAAACTTTTATTTTTTTGTCATGACAAATTATTGGTCCCTTTTTGGTGAAATCAGGGAGGCATCTTTTCATGATTGCAAATTAATTGTAATTGAAGAAGAGCTACTGATTTGGAATGGTGAACTTTGTTGAAAAATGTATTTCCAATGACAACCAGAGGTTGGATGTCATCACTAAACAGCAACATTAAAGAGTGAAGTTGTGTTGCAACCAGCAGGAGAATGGTTTGGATGCAGTTATGTATGTGCCATTTAGACTTTTCTCCCAGGAATTCCCAAGATAGAATTCCAGGAGTTACAATCCACAGACCCATTCTATAGATACCCTTGGACACATTTACATTTTGAATAATCTGGAGAATGGCCTGGCTCAAAGGCTTTGTGCCCTAGCTTCCTGCTTGAAAAGGAGGCTGCCTAGCAGGGCTTCCTGCAGTCTCATTGCCCACTAGGCTCTGTAGAGGGCAATTTAGAGCCTAGTACGCAGCAAGACTGTGCCTCCTAGGAAGCCCTAGGACTCCCAGGTGGCAGCAGAGCAGCTTCCTTTTTTTCTTTAACAGGAAGCTAGGCTGAAGCCCTTGAGATAGACTTTCCCTAGGTGTGAAACGTAGGTATGTCTGTAAGTGTGCATCTGTGGATTGGAATTGCCAAAGTTCTGTCTTGGGATTTGCAGAATTCTGGAAGTTGGACTCAAAAAAAAAAACCTGAATGGTAGATCTGTGGATACAAGAGAGTCATCTAGATCTGCCACATACAGAAGTCAAAATAACTGTGACATCCAAATTAACCATGGAACAAGAAGAGTTCAATGAGAAATTGACAGGATTTGCCTTTTGTGAATTTTAAAACCATCCTGGAAATTATTTTTAAATTTGCATAAAGAAATATAATATGAATACATATAAATTTTAGGCACATTTCTGTCCTAAGAGCCCGAGCCCTGAATATTTTCTGTATCCTATTTTTGTACACACTTGGTAATGATATTACTGTATAGGAGTTTGCATGTAATTTCGGCATTGCAGGAATGCATTAAATACATGAGAAATTCATTTGCCAGTGGAACTAAATTCATTTGTTTTCTCATTGGCTGACATCTATGTATGTTTTAGCTAAAATTTATTACTCTAAGGTTATTGCATCTGTGTTTTGATTTTAATACAGGTTATCAATTGGAAAACATCTCTGCACATCCCAATACAAGCAAAACTAACTCCAGAAGCATCTGACCTTATAATTAAGCTCTGTCGGGGGCCAGAAGACCGCTTAGGCAAGAATGGTGCAGATGAAATAAAAGCACATCCATTTTTTAAATCAATTGATTTTTCAAGTGATCTACGACAGCAGCCTGCTTCCTACATCCCTAAGATTACCCATCCCACAGACACATCTAATTTTGATCCAATTGACCCAGATAAATTGTGGAGTGAGGATAAGGAAGGGAATGTCAATGACACACTTAATGGCTGGTATAAAAATGGTAAACATCCAGAACATGCTTTTTACGAATTCACATTCCGAAGGTTTTTTGATGACAATGGGTATCCGTACAGCTATCCAAAGCCTATTGAATATGAATTCAGTAATCCTCGTAGATTGGAATTGAAGTCAGATGAAGATGATGAGAGGACCAATAGAGAGGACCAAAATCGTGATTTGGTTTATATTTAGTAGAAAACATGAAACTGAACCACCCTTTGGAATTTCTCTGATATATTCTCAAGAAAATCTGAGATACCATTGGAAATCTGATTTTGTGCACACCTAGCATAAAGAAAAAAGTTTGATTATTGTTAGCCCAGTATCTTTTTCATGGAACTTTTCTTCTCATCTCAAATAATCCCCTTTTCAAATTTAATTTATTCCAGCATGTTAGTAATTAATATAGTAATATTAGGGAAAATAAATTATAAAATAAAATTAAGCTTTTTGTAAAGAATTAGGTAGGAAATAGTAATTTCATTAGGAAATGAGATGATTGTCTATTTGTATATAGACTGTATACATTAATTTTCCTCCGACAGTTTTGCAGTGGTATCTTTACCTTACACAAACCAAATATTATATACTAAACTGCCAGACATTTTCTTTGGCTTCTCACATTACTGAGCCCTTCTGTAGATGAGACTGGAGAGAGTAAGCTGGGGGCTAGAGACTCTAGGTATGCAACAAGGAAGCCTATGGCAGCAATCTTGAACTTAATCATAGGTAAGTCCTCTCAAACCTAGTGGGACTTCAGAGGAAACATGTATATGATTGCACTGTTCATCTGTGATCCTTCTTGCAATAGATGATCACCTATTAGCTCATCGTTTTTCAGTTTCTTGAACATTTTGGTGAAGCATAATGATTGTGCTGTTGGGAAGTAACATTGAGTCTGTGTGTGGGAAATGAATTATAGCTGCCTTTTCACAAAATAAACTTCAGTTTTAGTTCCTTCTGGTTCTTCTCATCGTTATCTCTTATTAAGAAAAAACTAAATGTGTTTGGGTTCTGTGAAACTTCATTGCTCTCATATTATCTGAGTAGCCATTTAAAAATACCTTAGTTAAGCTATCTGGTTCCATTGTTAGTCTCCTGGAGCTGTATTATCAAAGGACGTGTTTTTTAAAAAGGTGGTTCTTATTTCCCAAGTAGACTGTTTTAAGATAAAAATACAGCCCGGCTTGGTTGCCCCTTGGTTGGAGGGTGCATGTTCCTCTTGTAGGAAACTGTTCTGCCTTTAAAAAGTACAATCAGTGCAAGTGACTATGTAAAATAAATAATTCTTCATCCCATAATCAGTGTCTTTGAAATAAAGAGAAAGCTACAGTTCATACAACCCTTGCTTGTTTTTTAAATGCATTTTCCCTAGGTGAAAATATTGAACTTCTAATTTTCTAACATAGAAATGTCCTTTGAAGCCCACATGTATCCTTCCTGCTCCTGAAATATAAGCAAATTCCATATGCTAAGCCTCCTATCAAAACAGTTATTGAAAAGTGTACTGCTGGCCTGTTGTCTGAACAGGAAAACCATTATGGTATGAGCACCCCGTTGGTTTCAGAAGACAGACTAATGGTGAAAATAAGTATACACTATTGCTTTTTGGTTCTGAACAGCGTCTTGAAAAATGCCACTTCCTTCCTTTTTTTAATTTATTTTTTTCCAATTTTTGGCAACACGTTATCTTACATTCTTATCCTCTGAAAAGGACAGAACAGCTCATGTTAACACCTTGGTAATTTTCCATTCAGATAGTTTTTTCAGGGCCAGATCTCTGTGGCTTCATTAACAGAACAATGTTAAGTGCCTTCAGACTATTATTTACTTTTCTCTTCTTTTGAATTGATATTTATGTTAAAATATACGTTAATCTATTAAAAAAACTAGTGGAATATAATGCAGGTACTTGTATTAAAGAAATTTATAGTGCAATCATATGCATGTGTACTCAAAAACACCTCACTGTTTTTAAAAGAGTTTACTTCCAAGTTACTTTTAAGTTGTGTTTCAACCTTTGAATCCATGTGCTTGTTCTACATACAGTTGGTATAGCAGACAGCTAAATTGAACTCCAGACTGAGTAGAGCTTTTATAGTGAACCAAGACATCTTGTTTATGCACTGTTCTACACATATTGAGGTAGTCTTGCTCTAACGTACGCCAAAATATAGATTCTGTGTTTGGCGCCAAACAGCGAACAAGACCTTAGAATTTTATCATTATAAAAGGAGGATGCAATGTACAGTTATTCTGCTTTTGAGAATTGTTTTTGTAAAGTTCTGTTTTAAAGAAGGCTTTGAGAGCTGTCCTTTGTTTAATATTTAGAACTTCCAGTTAAACTGGCAAGTTTTTATTATATTTGTCTTGCAATAAAATATAATATATATTCCTTTTAAAGCCAGAAATTTAATCTGCCTGCTGCAGGTGCATGCATATATGTTCTGTACATTTCAAAACAAAGTTTTCATTGTCTAAACTTGTTGCTTTCAGTCCAGAGTAAGCTAATCACATTGAAATCAACAGGTTTAAGCAAGTATTTGAAATCCTTTAATTTTAATTGGAATTTCAGCAAATTTAACTTTTCTGGATTCTGGCAATTAGTGTTTTCAATTGAGAAGTGATAATTTTATGTTCACCAACATGCATCTCAGATAACTTTTTACTCAAGCTTCATAATATTTATATGAGCAGAGAAATTATGTTGTGTAACTCTGCCATTTTGAAACATTTTCAAAATAAAATCCTGCCTCATTTGTTCCTTATAAGGCCATCCAGATGGATGTTGTTGTTTTTCTGTTACAGTGGAGGATGCTAAATGAGGATAGCTTTTACATATCAGAACTTAACAACCCTCACAAATGTAGAATGTCATGTTTAAATAATAAGGTGGTGCTCCTGCTTTTAATTAACTTTCAGCTTCCGTGAACCTATCCTTTTTCAACTGCCTGTATTTACTGTAGAATATTTTTGTGCTGGAAAAATTTACTTCATTAGATGCATACAGTTTTCTCCTGACAACCTATTCTCAGTTTGTGTCCTTGAGAACTGAAGAAATGTTCTGTAAGTAATTGTGATGTCACAGTTACCTGAACCTAGGGCAGTATGCTTCCCTTCTGTTCATGCGCAGAACTTTTCATACTCCATTCAGAGTAATTTCTAGTGCAGATCCCGGGTATGCTGTAGTCTGCACACTCCATTTTTATCTGTTTATATTTCAGTTCCTTTGTTGTTGGCTTAAGTCTGACAGTATGTTCATGCTGGTTCAGCTTTTGCTTAACAAAAATCAAAATTTCTCTACATCTGATTTTTGAATGAATAATTTTCAGTTAAACATTTAAAATATTGCTTTGCTCTTCCACATATATACATATGCACTGTATTTATAAAATGTTCTATAATCATGTAATTGTATTGTAAATACTGTTGTACTATTCACTTTTTATCTTAGGGCAGGCCCTCTTGCTGGATCTTTTCTACCATATTTGTAACAGACCCTATAGAATGTATGACTAAAACAACTTTTTGTACTTAAAATCTGCTGTTACAGTTTGCAGACCTGTAATGGAGAATGAATTTATTGGACTTTAATACTGTACATCTGCAGAATGGCAGTCTGAATGGATTAATAAATGTTGCTGCTGTTACCCAAGGTACCAGTTAAATTTGGTGACAAATATCTGATATTTGCAATAAGACATTATTTGCTTTAATGCAACCAGAGCAAAACAATGGTATATTAGGGTCAGCATCCAACAGTAAACCTTTGGAATGCCTTAAGATATCCTCCTATGAAAGGCACTACTCAAGTTTACTTCTGTATTTCATTTTGTATATATACCTTTTATACCGTAAACACTCTGCTGATAAACATACTTTTAGAAAAGTAGCTTGAGAAGTGCCTTGGCAGACAATACAACAAGAAACATCTTTGTCTATTTTTGCATGTAATAATTATTTGGTAATCTGTTAAATTCTTGAGTGTCTTATGGATCTCTTTCCACTTTTAAAATCAGTTTTTGCTAGTGTACTATTTGCTGGAATAATAAAAGTCAAATTCTGTGAATAAGCTGTTAATGAAATATAATTTTTATGTTGATCAAAGGTGTGTTGTTATGGTATTCCCCTGCAGGGTTGACGGAATATAGAATTCCTATTCAGTGAAGGTGATTCTGTTTTTGGTTCATTAGCTATGATTCCCTGATCTTGTCATGATTTGTAAATAAGTAAAGAAAAATCTCCCACAGCAATATAATTGTTATTAGAAAACTGTTTAACGTGTGTCTTCCATAAATACGTATATAAAATAAAATAATACCCATTTTAGAACTAAAATTCACATGTAAGCATGTAATTTACTAGTTCATTTTAGCAAAATAAAATGCATGAAACACATTGAATACAATAATGTTCATATCTAGGTTATGTCCAGAACAGTAATCATAAGAACTGTTTAGATATTTAGATAGGCTGAATATTTTGGTATATTTTTAGTTAGTATGCCCCATGCCAGCAGTTTGCATGAGTAAAGTTTAAAATGTCAAAGTCTGTTGCTAAATTACCTCAGATAAAACAAACTTGAGTACTTTTAGTGTTAAGTACATGCTGATCAGGCCCAAGTACTGTGAAGCACAAGAGTCTACATATTTTTCCTTACAATTTTTAAGGGAATTTTTTTTATTCTAAAAATATTACTTTCATAATTAACTGGAAGTTCGCAGGTTGAGGTATGTTGCTTTAGATATCCATGCAACCTAGAATCTATCTACAGTAATAAACAAGTAAATAGAGTACCCTGTTATAGCAGCACTTCATGTGAGTGTTGTGGCTCCACTTTACATAATTCTGGGATTTGTAGTCTGCTGAGGCTCTAAGAGTTCTAGTGCACTGCGCTGGCTAACGGCATTAGTATTTTCTAGCAGATAATTCTGAGTGCAATATCAAAATACAAATTGTAGAATTCAAGAGGATGGACCAGTGGCTGTTAGAATGGTATCAAATTGCTATAACTGGATTGTAAATGTATTCATTTACACTTCCCAACATGTGCAAATCAGCAATCATATGTGTAGGTCAAATAGGAAATGTAATCAGATCACAAAATTGTCAGATCCAACTCTGTATGCCCCCTCCCCTGAATCAAACAGATTGCAGTTTTCAGAGTTCAGATTTTGGTTACTTTAAGGCAGTGGTTGGGAAACAGGGGTAATATACCCCAAATGGGGTAAAAGTAAAAATCCTGGAGTTAATGAGCAGAGCACTATCCCACCCCCTGCAGCCAAACCTCAAATTGTAAGCCACCTCTCCCTGTTACTTCCTTGGTTGCAGCAGGACACTTGTAAATCCATTCTTTCAGAGATCGTAGATTAGCCTGCTTGATTGTTTAGGGCAGTAATGGCAAACCTATGGCACACGTGCCACAGCTGGCACACAGAGCCCTCTGTGGGCACACGAACCATAAGTTGCCATAAATAACTACTTACCAGTCCTCTGATCTCGGCACTCCCCGCTACTGGTGCAGTGGTCCAGCAGAGGGGTGCAGTGGTGACCATGACCAGTCTAGCCCAATGGGGGAGTAGAGGACCAATAAGTATTTATTTGTTAATACCGCCCATGGGGGGGGGGGAAACCAAGCATTTAACCCTTGCAGTGCGGGAACAGTTGTTCTTTCTACACTAAAACCTCACTGTTTGTGTTTTAATTGCAGTATTGGCAGTTTGAAATAAATAAGTTGATTTTGTGTTGCAGTTTGGGTTCAAAAAGATTCACCGTCACTGCACTAGGCGCTCAGAGGCAGCCACTGCCCTCATGCAGCAGATTTTGCAGTACCAGTGTATTTTTGCCATCTATCCATGGCATGGATCCACATGAATTTTAATATACGCTCATCTCCAAATCATTGCCCATCTCCATTTCCTCGGTTGTGGCACTGGCGTGAGAGGTTCGACTGGAAGCTTCTTTGAAGTGGCATATTTTCTCCCCATTTGTACTCAGCAGGGAGCTGTCCATGGAGTGCTCACGGTGTTGATGATGAAGATGAGGCTTGCCAGGTCTCAGAGAATGAGCTGCAGTTTGGCTTCCGATGCCTGTCCAACACGACACATAATGCACTTGCTTAGGAGCTCAGAGAGGAAACCCACAATGTCTAGCTCACTCCCTCACACATGCATGGAGAAATATTATGTTCCCAATTCCTGTGACATCACAAAGACCCACCTCAGGCATTGGGCCCCAGATATAATGGGGAGATGGGGAAGATTATCCCGTGACAGCCCCTGACAAACAAGACAACACTTCAAAACCATTCCAGAAAAATTATTTTATTGGTTTTGGAAAAGAGGCTAAACGGGCCGTCTCTGTGGGAACACGTGCCATAAATCGCCAGAGAGAAATACTTACCCGTCCTCTGATCCTGGATTTTGGCACTCCCCACTGCTGGTGCAGTGGTCCAGTGGAAGGGTGCAATGATGACTGACGATCACCCTACATCACTTATTCCACTCATAGTCATGATCTAATTTGCATGAGCCTATGAGAGGATTGGAGCGGCGTAGTCCGCTGATATATGAAGGTTCGGCAGGAGGATTTGGAGTCAGATAGAAATGGAGACAATCCAATGAGATCCAGATAGAGATAAAGGCTGGTTAGTCAGATAGAGAAGGAACAATTACTAATAGAGATAAACCTGGTTAAGATAGAGAAGGTGGTAATTATATGGCAAGAGAAAAGTATGTACAGTGGGGTCTTGACTTAAGAACGGCTTAAGTTAAGAACATTTTGACTTAAGAACCACTCTCATAGGAAAATATTGACTTGACTTACATACTTAGATTTGAGTTAAGAAAAAAAACCACGTGGGAGGCAGGGAAAGTGCAAAATTTGAACTTTCAGTTAACTGTTGGCCAGTGAAAAAGGTGCCTGTCTGCTTCCTCACTCCTCCCAGCGTTCAGAGAGTGGATTGGGAGTCTTCAGACTGCCTGGTACTGCCTGGACTGTATTTTCCCTGCCTTCCCTGAACCTTTCTTGACCTAAGAAAAAAAGAAACAAAATATTACCCTCTAGTGGTCAAAGGCAGAATAGCAGCTTCCCATTAGTTTCTATGGACGGAAAAGAGCAGATACGGATCAAATGGTTTTCAATGCATTCCTATGGGAAATGCAGATTTGACCTGAGAACTTTTTGACTTGAGAACCACCTTCCAATACGGATTAAGTTCTCAAGTCAAGACCCCACTGTATTGAGAGACCTGTTAATGATTTACTTGTGTACAATGTTCATCTGAAGAAGTTCTGTGATTATTAAATTAACTTCACTTCAATAAATAAGTTCAGTTTGCTTTCACAAGACATGTTTTGACAAACTTCATTTATATTGTGGATTGAGGTAATCCACCGGGGGCAATAAGAGGAAAACATGGCTGGAACCTTTGTGAAGGCACAACACATAGGTGCCACAAAGGCTGAATGCCACAGCGACCATGACCGGTCTAGCCCAATGGGAGATTAGAGGACCAGTAAGTATTTTATTTTTAGGGACGTGGTGGCGCTGTGGGCTAAACCGCAAAAGCCTGTGCTGCAGGGTCAGAAGACCAGCAGTCGTAAGATCGAATCCATGTGACAGAGTGAGCTCCTGTTGCTTTGTCCCAGCTCCTCGCCAACCTAGCAGCTCGAAAGCATGCAAATGCGAGTAGATAAATAGGTACCACTCGGTGGGAAGGTAAAACAGCGTTCCCTAGTCACGCTGGCCACGTGGCAATGGAAACTGTCTTCAGACAAGCGCTGGCTCTACGTCTTGAAAACGGGATGAGCACCGCCACTAGAGTCAGACATGATTGGACTAAAAATGTCAAGGGGAACCTTTACCTTTAAGTATTTATTTGTTAATACCACCCATAGGGAAAAACAAAACAAAACAAGCATTTAAGCCCTTGCAGTGCAGGAGCAGTTGTTTTTTCTAAACTAAAACCTCAGCATTCGGATTTTAATTGCAGTATTGGCACTTTGAAATAAATAAGCTGATTTTGTGTTGCAGTTTGGGCACTCGGGATCAAAAAGGTTCCCCATCACCGGTTTAGGGCTTTACAGCCCTGGGCAATCAATCCGGGGCCTGTGAATGCGAACGACTGCTCCCCCCCCCCACAGAGATGAATGCAAGCAAGCAGCAGGAGGGAAAGGCTTCAGTTAATGAGGGGATTGACGGGTTCAT